CTGACACCCTTTTCTGACCTCCGTGGGCATTGCATGACAAAAGTACACTTACATACATGTAGTAGACAATACACTCATACACATAAAGATAAAAATCATAAAATATTTTTTAAAACTCACACCAAAAGAAAACAACAACAAAAGGTTATTGGATTTGTTATAAGAAACCAATACTTTATCTTGAGTACTGAATACTTTAGTACTAACAGTAGAATAGAGACTACTTATGTCTTACTATTACTTTTTGGGGGGGGGGCTTTTTTGATTGGGTCTCCCTGTATCTGCAACTGGCCTGGAACTTGCTGTGGAAACCAAGCTAACCAAGCTGGCTTCAAACTCACAGAGATCCACCTGCCTCTGCCTCCCAAGTGCTGGTCTTAAACACGTGTGCCACCATGCCCAGCAAGTTTTTTTTAAAAATTTTAAAATATTTTTAGATTTTTATTTTATGCATGTGAATGTTTTGCCTGCGTGTATATAAGTGCACTTGCAGGGACACTGCCCTCAGCGGCCAGAAGAGGATGTAGGCTTTATTGGAATCGAGTTATAGACGGTTGTTAGCTGCCATGTGGGTGCCAGGAACTGAACCTGGGTCCTCTGCAAGACCAGCCAGTGCTCTTAACCACAACTGTAAAATACCTCAACTGGAGCTGGGCGTGGTGGCACACGCCTTTAATCCCAGCACTCGGGAGGCAGAGGCAGGTGGATCTCTGTGAGTTCAAGGCCAGCCTGGTCTACATAGTGAGTTCCAGGACAGCTGGGGCTACAGGGAGACCCTGTCTCAAAAAGACCAAAAAAAAGGTTATCACAACTGGTTTTAGACAAGCAGACCAAAGTTGAGCATCTGAGTGAGCTTAGTGGCCTGCAGACCCGACACCATGTATAGTGTCTTTCTTTTTTTGGTAATGCTGCTCAGAATAGGTTTGGAGTTCTTGAAACAACTGAGAGAACTTGCAGCATATTTTTTTGACTAATAGTAAGTTTTGAGTGCTGAGGACGGGTTTAATCTTAGGAAACACTAAGGGGCAGTACAGAAGTATGCTGCTTGTTGAACTGGGTGGTGCCACTGAAGGAAGCTCCAGCTCTGCTGAGGGGTGCAACAGTGAAGTAAATATGGAACTTACAAAGGACTTTGGAAGGATAATTTTCATATTTATGTGCAGATTCTCGCATGTTGACATGAAATGTCAGACTTACTAAAATGCCATTTAGGGGACCAATAAAATGGCCCAGTGGGTAAAGGCACCTGCCACAAGCCTGACAACCTGAGCTCCATCCCTCGGACCTACATGGTGGAAGGAGAGAGGCTCCTGTAAGTTGTCTCTGACCTCTACATATGTGCTATGACTTGGGTGTGGTGCACACACTTTTAATCCTAGCCCTCTGGAGGCAGAGGCAGGCGGATCTCTGTGAAATCAAGGCCAGCTGGTCTAAATAGCGAGTTCCAGGCCAGCTGGGGCTACAGGGAGACCCTGTCTCAAAAAGATGAAAAAATAAAATAAATAACTTTTAAATACTATTAAAAATACCATTTAGGACTTCTTTGCTGGAGTGGGGTGAGTAAATCCTATTCCACTACTGTGTCTTTCTTTGGCCAGTTTAATTAATGGATATATTAAATGAATATATCATGTCTTATTTCCCTGCCTCACATGAGTTTTTGCCTATCTGAAACAATAGAGCAGTCAGGGCTGAGTTTAACATAGGGTATGAGTACCCTCTAGAAGAGAAAAACTGTCAGTAAAGTAGTCAAGATTGTCCTGCGTACACACCAAGGACTAGCAGGATGTACTTGGAACGTTCCGAGAGAACAGATGAACGAAGCAGCCTGCCAGCTATTCTAACCCTGCTAGCCACGAAGCAGCTGCCTCTGTCCTGCTTGACCAGTATTTCCACAGAGGATAAAGTCAGTGTGGCAAAGGCCCCTTTGTCACCTTCCTGACAAACAGAGGTTGGGGCTTGAGAGGCTTTCCTTAGCCTTGGGCTGGAGGGTATTGAATTCATTTTTGAGACAGAGACTCCCTGTTGTTCAGCTGGCCTGGCACTCACTATGGGGACCAGGTTGGCCTCCATCTCACAGAGATCTGCCTGCCTCTGCCTCCTGAATGCTGGGACTAAAGGTGTGCACCACCATGCCCAACTGGATGCTGAATTCTTTTCCATAGGTCATTGAGAAGAGGAAAAATGGAGAGAAAGAAAAACCCTTGTATGGAAAATTGAAAATAACTGAAATTGGTCAATTCTGAAATCAGGACTCCTCAAAAGTTGTTCATTACAATACATCAGCATGTCACTCTGGGCCTCCCTTTAGTGGGCAGTTGTGCAGTATAGATGCCATGACAGCCACTTTCATCCACATAGCAAGCTCCAGGCTAGCCAGGGCTACGTAGTGAAACTGTGTATTATAAAACCAAAATAAAACGCCAGGGCAAGACCAGCTAAAAACTCAGTACTTGTGTAGCTATTCTCCCAGAATCTACTAAGTTAACTTCTAGTTGAGCTGTGCTGTTGGCGCTGTGGCCTGGCTTCCGAGGGCGCACCCTGTGGATCCTCTGTAGAGTCACACGGTATCAGAAGGTAAGATGCTCTAATTCTATTTCTGAGGTTGACGAGGAGCACAGCAGTGGAGGACTTATCTGTGGAGTATGTGACATCAGGTGGCCAGCCTTGGTGTGGACCCCACATGTACATGCTTCCTGCTTAACATTCGAGTTTACAAGGCTCACCAGTTTTGGTGATCTCACGTTGGGAGCCACACTTCTCCTCTAGGGGATATAATGTACAAGGATATAAGTATATTTGGGGACTGGAGAGATGACTCTGGTTAAGAGCACTGGCTGTTCTTGCAGAGGACCTGGGTTCAATTCCCAGCACCCACATGGCAGCTAACAACTGTCTGTAACTCCAGTTCTGGGGGATCCAACGCCTTCTTTTGCTCCATAAATAGTTGTTGAGTCGGTGATTGAACTAAAATTGACCAAATATTATGAACTCCCAAGTACTTGTATGTGTTCAATGATTGCTTTTTTTTCTTTAACTCACTGTGCCTTCTGACCTTTGTTACCTGACCTGGGCATTATTAACTTGGAAATATGAAGGAGGAAACTGCTCCTGACAACTGGCGAAGGGGGCACTTCAGGGTCCGGAAGGAGGCTGCCTCCGTGCTCTCAGAGTTGACCCTGAAGTCAGTTACAGCCTCTGAGTGATGGGTTTTACTTTGTTTGATTTATTAATTTGTGTGTATGTGTGGGTGCCTGTGTGAGTGTATGCCAGGCATATGATGGTGCCCACAGAGGGCAGAAGAGGGCATTGGATCTCTTGGTGACTTGGGTGCTGTCCTAGTTTGTTCTTCATTGCTGTGACAAAATACTCTGACCAATACCAACTTGAGAAGGAAAGGGTTTATTTGTCTTACATCTCCCAAGTCGCAGTTCATCAGGGAGCCCAAGGTAGGAACTCAGGGCAGGAACCTGGAAGCAGGAGCTGGAGCACAGGCCATGGAGGAACGCTGCTTACTGGCTTGCTCCCTTGGCCCCTGCTCAGCCTACTTTCTTATGCAACACAGGCCCACCTGCCCAGGGGTGGCACCACCCACAGTGGGCTGGGCCCTCCCACATCACTCATCAAGAAGATGCCCTTCAGACATGGCCACAGGCCAGTCCAATAGAGGCAATTTCCCGATTGAGGCTCTCTCAACCCAGGTGTGTCAAGTTGACACTAACGCTATCCAGCACAGGTGCTGAGAACTGACTCTAGTCCTCTGCAAGAGCAGTATGTGCTCTTAACCCCTGAGCCAGAGAGATGCTTTTAATCGTAGAATCCCGTATTGGTTATGAGAAATACAGATTACTCTGATGAGGTTAGAAGTTTCATGGGTTTGATGTAGTAAAAAACTGTCAGTAAAAGGAAGTCTTTGTAGTTGCTCTCCCACAGAACTGCCTTTAAGAGAGGCCAGCCTGGACTCCATAATATGTTCCGGATCTACCTAGGCTGTGTAGCAAGACCCTATCTCAGAGGGAGAGAAAGGAGAGAGAAGGGAAGAGCCCGGAGAAAATGGCCTGGTGACCTGCCAACTGAATAGCCTCTCTGAGGGTCTCACTCTGCTGTACCTGTTCAGAAACTGACGCCTCAGCTGGATGGATGGCAGGATCACACATTGCAGAAACGAGGGCAGCCTCACTTGTACCTGTTGTTCTAGAATTATACCCAAAGAGTTTGCTCCACACTTGTGGGGAACAGACACACAGTCTTGGCCCTAGAGAAGAGGGTATTTGAGAATGAATTGGGGATCCCCAGGAGGTTGGGGGTAGGGGCTTGGAACTTCAGGCTGACTTTCAGAAGGATAGATCTGCCTATACAGAGTAAGAGCAGCCCACATCCATCACCATGGGAACCAGCCTTTCCTCAAGCCTTACAGGTCAGGTCTCTGCTGCAGGGAGAGACAGGGCAGGGAGTTATTATTTTTTGGCTTATTTTTGGTCTTTTTGAGACAGGGTCTCCCTGTAGCCCCAGCTGGCCTGGAACTCAGAGGCTGGGATTAAAGGCGTGCACCACCACACCCGGCTATAGGGAGATTTTTGAAAAGTTCCAAGGTCTTCTCATTCTGCTCCCCACGAGAAAGAGACATAAATGCTTTCTGTTAATGACAGCTGAGGAGATGGCTGTTTCCCTTGGCATTTACCCTGGCCTGAGTGAATCCCTGGCACAGTGCCAGCAGGTGTCAAGTAATTGTGACCACTGATACAAAAGAGCCAGGCAAAGGTAAGAGAGCACCACTGCTATAGGTTTGAATCCCCGTAGGTGAAAACTAGAGCTGACTCAGCCGAAAGGCCAGTCCTTGCCCTTCCCTATGAACATTCATGATGTGCCACCATGAGTTAGTGTAATGGTAAGAGGCCTTCCCACTGTCTTGGCTACCTCAGGTAAACAGCTGAAGCTGATGTCTTTGCTGGGGTGAATGTGTAGGCTGTGCCCCAAAATATAAATTGCCACTGTTTCAGGGATGTGAACACAGCGGTGATGGAGTTGCTGATTATGGCTTATGCACTGAAGACTGCCTGTGCCAGGAACATCATTGGAGTCATCCCCTACTTCCCCTATAGCAAGCAAAGCAAGATGAGGAAGAGAGGTTCCATCGTGTGCAAGCTTCTGGCATCCATGCTGGCAAAAGCAGGTGAGTGTCAGCAGGGACCCTGGTTCCAGTGCAGAGCGCAGCCCCTTCCTCTTCCCCACTGCAGGTTAGGTCTCACCTCAGGTATCTGGTTTGGGGACTGTTTCTCTGCATGTTGTTGGAGGATGACATTCTCTTGTTTCTTGTCACGTGGTTTGGTTAGGGATATGAGAACTGAGACACTAAATTCTTACTGGTTTTCCTTTGTCTTTTGAGTGACATTGCTTTATTCGGTGTTCTCTCTGGGCTGTTCTGTCCTTTGTCATCTCATCTTGTCATCCACATTTTAACCGGCAGGCTTGTCGTTCTGTGATCTCTCAAGTTTCAGGTCTAGGTCTATGAATTTGCCTGAAAAGCCTACTTTTTTTTTTTGCTTTGTTTTGTTTGTTTTTTGAGATGGGGTCTCACTAATACAGCCCCAGCTGGCCTGGAACTTGCTCTGTAAACCCTCCCCAGCTGACCTGTCTCACAGAGATCCTCCTACCTCTGCTGTGGGAGTAATGGCATATGCCACCATGCCCAGTTACGTATATTCTCGATGTTTAGCGCATTAAGCTGAAGTTTCCTTTTAGTACTTCTACCGTTTCTGTGCTCGTCCTTCCCCGCCTGATGGCCTTTCTGAAGTGTCGGGAGGTCCCCTTTGCTGTTCAGCCCTGCTGATTAGGAGACACCTGTTCACCCTGCTTTTCTGTCAGGTGCATCTTAAACCACTCAGCACACAGGTCATTCTCAACATCTGCATCTCACCTGCGCTGCGTGAGTTTCTTTCTTGCTACTTCGTTTTTGCGTGTGCTGTGGCCACAGTCCCTTAATGCATCTTTATATTTTACGAATAGGTATTTTATACCTGTTATTGCTTCATGTTTATCCCATGTTCATGTTTCTTTCCTTGCTCACTCTGGAGGAGGGAGATTGTAACAATAGTACAGAAAACACATCTCTCAGCTTTACTTCTTTGTCCTGTTGAAGGTCATGGGCTCCTTGGCATTAGGCTGGGCGTTCTTCACCATTTTGCTTTATTAAGGCTAACAGTAGAGTCTGCATCAGCTGTTCACTATCCCCCGCCTCAGTCTTCTGGTAGGAAGCAGGAGTTGAGCATCTAGTTTGTGTCCACTGTGGCCATTAACATGTAGGGGAGAACTTTGTAATTTTTTGTTTTAAAATTTCAGGTTTAACTCACATTATCACTATGGACCTTCACCAAAAGGAAATTCAAGGCTTTTTCAGCTTTCCGGTGGACAACCTTAGAGCCTCACCTTTCCTGCTTCAGTATATCCAGGAAGAAGTGAGGAGCCACCAGCAGACATCCCACTGTCCTCAAAGATCCTATTTAGTTTTCCCTGGTATCAGATTTCAGTATTGAAAGGCACATCCCAGGAGCGCTCCCTTCAGGCCTAGTGCCTGCCGCAGCCAGACAGGCTCAGCCTTTAGTCATGGAGGGTCATGTTTTCAGAAGATGTGAGGACGTGCATTTCCTTCTAAGGATCAGTTTGCTTCTGTTGTCTAGGAGGAAGGCTTTAAGAACTGTATTTTATCTTCTTTGATGTTGCAGTGCTTTTGCAATGATGTTAATTGATAAATAATGAGAAAATGTCAGTGTGTAAATGAACGCTAGTGTATTTGGTTACTAGATAGGATTATTAAAAGAAGAAAAGGTGTAATAGTAGTATCCAGATTTAATGTTTTTGATAATCTTTCAGTATTGCTTTTATTTTTCCTCCAAATCCAGATTCCAAATTACAGAAATGCAGTCATTGTAGCTAAGTCTCCTGATGCTGCAAAGAGGTAAGCACGCCTTCATTTCCAAACCCCTTTGAATGTTTCTGGAGTCAGTTAGCTTGGGAATCCAGAGCTATTGTAACGTGACCAATCAAAGCTCGTGGGCTCTAGTTCTCCCTCACGTCATTGTCAAGGCCAGTGGACAGCTTTATCTCTGGCCTCCAGACTTTGTGGGTGCCTCACTTGAGTTATTCAGGTTTTCTCTTGGGAAACGGAATTCTTCAAGTTCTCAGGAAAGCAGTGAAGTTATGAACATTTCTTGGGCAATGGCTTTTGTTTGTTTTTTTGAGACAGGGGCTTATGTCTCAGGCTGGTCTCACACTCCCTACATAGCTAAGGATGACCTTGAACTTCTTTTTTAAATATGGTTATTTTATGTGTACGCGTGTATTGCCTGCATGTAGGGAAGCTCACTCGTGTCGTGCAATGCCCGTGGAGGTCAGAAGAGGCTGTCGGATCCCCTAGAACTAGAGTTACGGACAGCTGTTAGCTGCCACGTGGGTGCTGGGATCTGAACCCAGGTCTTCTGCAAGAACATTCAGTGTTCTTAACCACTGAGCCATCTCTCCAGCCCTGACCTTGAACTTCTGACCCTCCTGCCTCTACCTCTCAAGTGCTGGAATTACAAACATGTGCCACCACACAGTTTATACAGTGTTAGGCCTCAGACCCAGTGCTCCTGTAAGCTGGAGGGGCGCTCTGCCAACTGAGCCACGTCTCCAGCCCAGCACTGTTTGTTGTGTTTTTTTGTGACAGGGTCTCCCTGTAGCCTCAGCTGGCCTGGAACTTGCTCTGTAGACCAGGCTGCCTTTGCCTCCCAAGTTCTGGGATTAAAGGCCTGTGCCACCACCCCCTGCCTGACATTGGTTTTAGAGGCGTATTTTTGATCAAAGTTATGGAAATTTAGAGAGAAAAATAAAAAGAAAAGAAATATGGGCAAAGAATACAATGAAAATGGTCTAGAATCTGGTATTAGCCCTTGAGGCATTTATATTCTGGGCTAGTTTATAAAAATGTTTCTCTGTGTCCCAGAAAGATTGAACAGCATTTGTCATGTGGTCAGTAGAGTGGTCAGCGAGGCTGAGAGTCCTCCCGTGGATGTCCCCATTGCCCATCACTGTCTTCCTCTCAGGGCCCAGTCCTATGCTGAGAGACTGCGTCTGGGGCTGGCTGTAATCCACGGAGAAGCTCAGTGCACAGAGCTGGACATGGATGATGGTCGTCATTCTCCCCCGATGGTCAAGAACGCCACTGTGCACCCAGGCCTGGAGTTACCCTGTAAGATTAGCTCTTGTATATCAAAGAAACTTCAGTAGTCTGAATGGCTAATAGTTAACAGCTGTGTGAGATACCTGTGCTTTCATGTGCTTTTTATGAGTTGTCTTGCTATTTTTAAATAATTGCCTTGATTTCCCTTTTATAAAAGAAGAATTCGTGTCTTAGCACTCATTTACATAGTGTGGGGCAATTGTAGTAATCCAGGTAGCACATAGCTTTCAAGTGGGTGTGTTTTTTGGTCTTTTTGAGACAGGGTCTCCCTGTAGCCCCAGCTGTCCCAGAACTCACTACGTAGACCAGGCTGGCCTTGAACTCACAGAGATCCGCCTGCTTCTGCCTCCCCAAGTGCTGGGATAAAAGGCGTGTGCCACCACACCCGGCCTCAAGTGGTTTTTTGTTTTGGGGTTTTTTGGTCTTTTTGAGACATGGTCTCCCTGTAGCATTCCAGGAAACTCACTATAGAGACCAGGCTGGCTTCAATCTCAAAGTTCTGCCTGCCTCTGCCTCCCGAGTTCTGGGACTTTAGGTGTGTGCCACCATACCTGGCCCAAGTATTAAATTATTTTTTTGAGATAGGATCTCATTATGTAGCCCTGGCTTGCCTGCAACACACTATGTAGACCAGGCTCGCCTCAAACTCACAGAGATGTGCCTGGCTTTGCTTCACAAGTGTTAGGATTAAAGCGTGTGTCACCATGCTGTGCCAGTGTTAAATAATTTTTAGCTTCAGTGAACAGTTGTGTGTGTGATGGTGTGGAGTCCAAAGTCTTTGGTTACACTTTGGTAAGTGATAAGCAGCCATTGATCAGACACCAGGCTTTGGCCATGAGCATCTTTAGCACTTGTTTTAGTAGCTCTGTGATCTGATGCCAGCTTACTTGCTGTTCTTAACCCAGTGGTGTTGAAGTGTTTGGACCCTGCGTGGTACTGACAAGCATTGAGCACCAGCAGGAGGGTTTACGGTTTTTAGAAGAGATTATTTTCTCTTATAAATCCTCCTATTGGGCTGGAGAGACAGCTCAGCAGTTAAGAGCACTGACTGTTCTTGCAGAGGACCCGGGTACGAGTCCCAGCACCCATATGGTGGCTACGAACTGTCCTTAACTCCAGTTCCAGGGGAATCCAAAGCCCTCTTCTGACCTTGCCGGCACTGCAGGACATGGGTGCACTCACATACATGCAGGCGATACACTTGTATACATAAAATAAAAATAAATATATTTTTAAAAAGTCCTCCTATTATCCTTGCCTCAGAAGCATTCAGAGGTTACTGGGGAGAAGAAGTATTGCAGTGGTTGCATCTGAGTGTATTTCAGGCCCTGTCTGAAGTTCGGTAAGCGCTCTGATTTTCTGCCCTATTAAATGTCTTATTTCATTTCTGTCAGGTGTGTTTTCACATAAAAGGAAGGAGTGGTATGCTTTTTTAGGCTTTCATAATTTTACCTTACCTGTTTGGTGCTGGTCACTGTCCCCGACTGTTTGGTGTAGGAAGAGCACAGGTGTGCTGCTCTCTTCACTCCACATGTGTCTCTTACGGCCGTAGGACTTTGTGCCATTTGAGAGCGAGTTGCATTTCTAAGGCCTCTTTACTCCTAAATACTTCAGCGTATATTTCCTCAAAAAAAAAAAAAAAACGCCTTATATAACCACAGTGTAATTCTCGTGCTCAGGAAACCAACATTATTACAGCACTGTTATCTAACCCTCCAGTGTCCTGTGGAACAAAAGGAAAAAAAAGCCGGTTTGGCCCAGGGCCTGACCGGGCTACACACTGCATTCAGCTGTTGTCTCTCTGTGGTCCCCTTTCATCCAGAGTGGCTCGTCTCCTCTTTCTCTCAATGACCTTGATGCCATGGAGCAGTACTGGCCAGTTATTTTGTAGACTGCCCCTTAATTGGGACTTGCTTGTGTCCTCCTGCTTAGATTCAAATTATGTGTATTTGGCAAAAATACCTCAGGAAACATGTGGTGTGTCCTGTTGCTGGAGAGGCTGATTTTGGTGGTATCTGGCAGGCTTTTACAAGAAGTTACTTTTTCCCTTTTAATAGTTTCATAAACCGAATATCCATATTTCTTGTCAGACTGAGCATCTTTTGATAATTCTCACCTGAATCTGTTATTACTGGTTGTGACTAATCACAAATGGTCTCTTTCTTCTCTGTCTTTATCTCTTTCTTATTTTTGAGCCTAGAACCTTATGTAGTCCAGGCTGAGCACCTCCAGCTTTAGGATTACTGGCACACTCTACCATGCCTGGCCCTTTTTTTTGTTTCCCCCAAAATGAAGTATGGAGGAGTGCATATGTGTGTGTGTGCTTGCAGAGGCCAGAAGAAGGCATTGGGTCCCTTGGAGGTGGAGTTACAGGCATTTTTGATCCTCCTGACGTGGGAGCTGGGATCCAAATTCTTGTCTTCATGATTAAGCAGCAAGCATTTTGAACTGCTGAGTCATCTCTCAACACTTTTTTTTTTTTTTTTGGTCTTTTTGAGACAGGGTCTCCCTGAAGCCCCAGCTGGCCTGGAACTATGTAGACCAGGCTGGCCTTGAACTCACAGAGATCCGCCTGCCTCTGCCTCCCAAATGCTGGGATTAAAGGCGTGCACCACCACACTTTTAAAAAAAGTGGCTCAACACACTTTTTTTAAAAGATAGTTTCTTTGTTGTTTGTGTTTTTTTGTTTTTTTGTGGGGTTTTTGTTTTTGTTTTTTGTGAGACAGTGTCTCCTTGTAGCCCCAGCTGTCCTGGAACTCACTATGTAGACCAGGCTGGCCTTGAACTCACAGAGATCCGCCTGCCTCCCGAGTGTTGGTTTCCTCTGGAACTATGCACAGTTAGCTACCATGTGGGTGGGTGTTGGGAATTGAAGTCAGGTCCTCTGCAAGAGCAGCCAGTACTCTTAAAAGCTTAATCATCCCTCCAGCCCCAATAAATTATTTTTTAAAACATCCTTTCTCCTATCTATAATTGTACCTTTCAGATTCAGTATGCTTTATGTTTGCAAATCACTTGTGAAGAATGTTCCAGTGGTTTTCTCTCTAAGATACTAGAATGTTAGGACAAGGCCAAGGTAGAACAGATCCATGAAGCACACCTTTTTTGTTATGATTTATTTTATGTATATGAGAGTCTGGCCTGCATATATGTATGTGTACCACATGCATGTCTGGTACTCTTGGAGGCCAGAAGAGGATGTCAGATCCCCTGGAATTGGAGTTATGAATGGCTGTGGATGCTGGGAACTAAACCTGGGTCCTCTGCAAGAGCATCCAGTGTTCTTAACCGTCTTTCTTATCCCTGACACACATTTCATTTTTTAGGAAGATATATCTGGTCCCGTGTTTGGGGTTTTTTTTGTTTTTTTTTAAGATGGGGTCTCCCTGTAGCCCAGCTGGCCTTGAACAGAGATCCACCTGCCTCTGTCTCTCAAGTGCTGGGAGTAAAGGCATGTGCCACCAAGCCTGACTCAAACCGTTCTAAAAGCACCCAAGTGTGGGTACTTACTTAACTTCCTATGTCTTTTTTTTTAGTGTCAGTCTGTTCGTTCTTTTGAACTAGAAACCTTTTCTGGCTTGACTTTCTCAGCTTGTTAATTGTACAAGTATAGTTTTCGCCACTAAGGTGAAAGAAATAACTTGCTCTTTGCTCCAGAGGATGTCTGGACCCATTTCAAGTTGCCATAGCCAGAAGGAGGTACACACTACTGGCATCTGTAGGTCTAGGCCAGAGTTGCTGCTAATTTCCTAATGTGCAGCAGTTCAGCACAAAATGTCAGTGGTAGTCAGGTCAAGCACATACCCGGCCTGAGAGGAATGTGATAGTGAAATGTGGAAACTGAAACCTTGAAGCTCTAACACTTTACCAGGTAGTCTAGATACCTCGCTGACAGTGGGAAAAGCATCTGTTATGTGTGACGAGATGTGGGCTGGAGAGATGGCTCAGCGGTAAGAGCTCTGACTGCTCTTGCAGAGGACCTAGGTTTGATTCCCAGCACCCACATGGTGGCTACAAACCATCTTTAACTCCAGTTCCAGGAGAATCCAAAGCCCTCTCCTGACCTCCGTGGCATTGCACAACACAGATGTACTCACATACATGGAGGCAATACACTCATATACATAAAACAAAAATAATACATAAAATATTTTTTTAAAAAAACATGAAGAGATGTGTGTGCACTAAAGGCTTCTCTGCTAAAGATTGCTCAGTGTTTGCCACAGTAGTAAAGATTAAGTCTGAATCACCAAAAATGAACGTATGCCTTTTCTGGCTTGATTTTCCTAGCCTGCTAATTATACCCCCCACTAGGGTAGAAAGGGATTGATTTGTTCCTCTTGCACATCTAGTAATGCATGTGGACCTGTGTGTGTGTGTGCATGTGTGCATGCATGCGCATGCCTGTGAGCCTGGAGTCAGGAATAATTCCTTTCCAGTCTTCCTTTGCTATGCTAGAAGAGGAAGTTTTGTCTGACCCAAGGAAAGAATAGCAGGTGTGTGTGTGCACATCCTTGTACTGTGAAATCATGCTCGATCCTTTTGTAAATGCAGCTTTTTCAGGAAGATGCTTATTTTCTTTTAATTTTAATTTTTGATGTTTTGATACAAGGCCTCACTTAGCCCAGGCTACAAACTGGCTTTGTAGCTGAGGATGATTTTGAACTCCTGATCCTCCTACCTCTGATACATAAAAATTCTTTGAATAGCTAAGAGAACATGTGTGTGGTCCCAGAACTAACAACCAAGGCTTCAAGATTTTCTGGGCCCAGAGCAACATACAAGTCAGACTGTGTAGGACCTTTTGCATCCTATAGCTGCTACCCGGGCCCTGTGTCTCTTTTCATGATGGGCCATGTTATCTTAGGAAAAATTCCTTCCTGAGTTCACCAAGTCATCGTGGTTTACAAAGTGGACATTCCTGGTGTGGGTCAGGACATCAGAACTTTTCCTCTATGTCTAGGCCAGGCTAATTGGGCTAGGAATTAGTCATTGCATTTTACAAAAAACAGATATCACTGGCAAAAGTTTAGGTATCTGTTACATGTGATCTACACTTTTCCTGGACTAATTGGACCAGGTGCTTCATTAAACCATTTGGTGAACTCTCAGATATATGTAATGTATTTTGTGTGTGAGTGTTTTGCCTGCGTGTATATAAATGCACCCCTGTCATGCAGTGCTCGCAGAGGTCAGAAAAGGGCGTCAGATTCCCTGGAACTGGAGTTACACGTGGTTGTTAGGTGCCATGTGGGAACCGAACCTGAGTCCTCAGAGCAGCCAGTGCTCTTAACCTCTGCGCCATCTCTCCAGCCCCCATTTGGTGAACTTTCCATTTTCTTAGTTTTACATCTTTATCAGCAGTAAGACATGGTTAGAAAGCTTCACAGAGCTTCAATATTACAGAGCAATACAACATCACCAAGTAGCAAAGCATCACAGAGCTGCATTTCAAGTGTCTACCCAGTAAGTAAAACAAGAGGAAACTTAAGTGTGGGATTTTACAATGGTGCACAGCCACACCCAGCACTGAAAACAATCATTTTAAACGTGAAAGACAGTTTCCTACTTCTTTATATGGACGTTAGAAGGCATTTGCTGAATTAAAGACGATGTTCTGGTATTTGATGCCATTTTGACAGCAGTTTCTGACTACAAGAGGTGTTGCACAACTTAGGTGTTTCTTACACAGGCTGCGTTCTGTCCAGTGTGGTACTCCAGGATCCTGTACTGTTAACCTGAACAGACTTCTGTGAAAAGTGGGATTCTGAGTTTTTTTCCTTTTGGGTAAGCTATTAGAAATTGCCAGCATTTTCCAGCCTGTGAGGCACTCATTTGCCTGTGCCCTGTAATAAAGACTATCTTTGTTTTTTAGGAGACACCAAATTGTGTGTTCAGTTTTTCTGGATCCTAGGACCAGATATGTGCAAGAAATGAATCTATGGAAAGAAAATGTACCTCTAGGCCTCCAGCTGTGCCTTGGTGTTTTTATTTTGAATGAATAAGGGTGCAGCAAAGCAAACACAAAGCCAGGCACGGCACACAGGCCTGTAATCCCAGCACTCAGGGATCGCCATGAAGTTTAGAACAGCTGAGGCTGCAGGCTAAATAACCAAAAAGAAATCATGGAAACTGATGCTCTCTGCATCAAACTAGATCTAAGTTCCTGTTGAGACAGGGTCTTCCTAGGTAGCTCAGGCTGGCCTGAAACTCAGTTCCCCTGCCTCAGCCTCTTGAGTCACCGGTGGGTTTATATCTGTGTATCACCTTGCGAGGATAGCTGACATTTGTGTGTAGAGCCTGTTTCTGAGATGGTAAATGAGGAAGTACCCGTTGACATTGCAGCTCATCCAACTTGCTGTTATGCAGGAAGGAACATGGCTGCGTCATGGTGATCATGTGGTTACATCCTTAGGTTCCTGGTGTCCACGAAGTGTGTGTAGTAGAAGCCTAGTGGAAAGTAAAGCTCGCTGCCTCTTGGCTGGATGGTCCATCTCCATTTCTCCTTGGAGTGGCTTCCCTGGTCACGGGCACCTTCGCACTGTGCTCTTCCATCCCCTTACCTGTGCTGTGTGTGCACTGTGATGGCTCTTGTCAAATGTAGCAACTGAGCTCTTGAAATGTGCCCAGTCTCACCTAAGAGGTGGATGTTCAAATGACCCCAAATAGTGATGGCTAACATGAAAAAACCAAACATCTCTAATACGTCTTTATACTGATTATGGATTGAAATAACAATTTTAAGTATACTAGGTAAAATAAAGTACTTCTTACTATAGAAGTATAGTATAAAATAGTATAAAAGTATAGAATAAAATAAATTACTTCTTACTATAGCTATACTAGAAAATTTTAAATTTTCCATCTTGCCTTCTGTTTCTGTGAGCCAGTGCTACCTCAGGCACTCTGACTCTTGAGTAAGTCCAGTTGTGGGAGAGATCTAGTGTTAGCTTGTTGTAGTCTGGTGGTGGCTTGTACCACCTCCAGGGCAGGAGGTTGTGATTACATTTATCTAAGCGACCTGACTAACAGAGGGTTTTGTGATTTGTTTTGCTAGTGATGATGGCCAAAGAGAAGCCTCCAATAACGGTGGTTGGAGACGTCGGGGGACGCATTGCGATCATAGTGGTATGGCAGTGCTCAGCATCCTTCACGTATCCACAGTGCTGGCTGAGTCAGTGAGGGTCTCAGCACAGTGGTGAACGTCAGGGCATCCATCTGCCCTTTCTCACCCAACGTCCTTTTATTTATTTAAGTTTATTTTATGTGTATGAGTGTATTTATTGCCTACGTGTATGTAGGTGCACTTGTGTTGTGCAATGCTGGCAGAGGCCAGAAGAGGGCATTGGATCCTCTGGAACTGGAGTTAACATCAGTTGTTAGCTGCCATGTGGGTGCTGGGATTTGAACCCTGGTCTTCTGCTGAGCCATCTCTCCAGCCCCTCACCCAATGTCCTTTAAGAAAGTAGCAGAGCCGGGCGTGGTGGTGCACAACTTTAATCCCAGCACTTGGGAGGCAGAGGCAGGAGGATCTCTGTGAGTTCAAGGCCAGCTTGGTCTACATAGTGAGTTCCAGGACAGCTGGGGCTACAGGGAGACCCTGTCTCAAAAAGACCAAAAAAAAAAAAAGGAAGTAGCAGAATTTTTTTTACATAAAACAACAGAGATTAACACACAATGTACACATATAAAGAGCACAGCCTTCCACAGGAAGCTCAGCTCCATAACCTTCATCTTATAGATTCTGGATCCCCTCAAACCAGCTTGTCTAATCATCCTTAAGCTCTAGGACCATGAGGTGAGCAGAGAATAAGTTTCTCTGATGTCACCTGTGGGAACAGGTGTCCCAAGACAGCCTTGCTTTGCTCCACATGCCCTCACTGCAAGGTCACATCATTTCCAACAGCTCTCTCTCTTTTAATTAAAATTTATTTATTTATTTTATTTATTTATTTTTTTGGCTGGGCGCAGTGGTACACACCTTTAATCCCAGCACCCGGGAGGCAGAGGCATGTGGATCTCTGTGAGTTCAAGGCCAGCCTGGTGTACATAGCCAGTGCCAGGCCAGCTGGGGCTACAGGGAGACCCTGTCTCAAAAAGACAAAAAAAATTTTTTTCTTTTAATTTATTTTATGTGTGAGTATCTTGCCTGCGTGTATGTAAGTGCACCCATGTTATGCAATGCCCACAGAAGCCAGAAGAGGGCGTCAGAGTTACGGATGGTTGTTATCTGCTGTGTGGCTGCTAGGAACCAAACCTGGGTCCTCTGCAAGAGCAGCCAGTGCTCTTAACCTCTGTGCCATCTCTCCAACCCCAGTAGCTCCCTTTATTTCTCTCTTCACATATCACCTTCTCTTGGGAAAAGGCAAGTGGGACGCTGACTCTATGGAACGAGTCAGGAGTTTGATGGAGGGACGCCACCCTGCCAGTCCTCATGACAGCGTGAGCTGCATGTCACCTGACCAGAGGGCCTCACTGCTCCTGCTGACACTCATCCTGCAGAGGTGCTTCTGCCAGCCCTGCTCACACTTGGGCCTAGGCTTGTGCTCTGAGTTGTCACAGAAACCTCTGAAGCAGGTACAGGGGAGAGTTGAGTCTCCAGGCCGGGATGGGGTGGCTCTAACACTGCCTCTCCATGCAGGATGACATTATTGACGACGTGGAGAGTTTTGTTGCTGCTGCAGAGATCCTGAAAGAGAGAGGCGCTTACAAGATCTATGTCATGGCCACACATGGCATCCTGTCTGCTGAAGCCCCCCGCCTGATTGAGGAGTCCTCCATTGATGAGGTCTGTCTGGCTTAGAACATTTGGCTCAAGTCTGGATTTGCTACAGTTGTTTCTGGGAATAATAAAATGATGGGGTAGTAAGTTGCGTAACTCCAACTAGGATACTACCTAACAGTACTTTTTGCTTGCCAACAGCCTTGTTCAGACAGATGTATGTTTAGGAACTAGGATTTGCATAAATATTTGAGATGTTCAAATGGACACAACAGGAACATTTGATTCCTGAATTCTTCACTGATAATAGGAAAGTTTTGAACGGGGCTGAGATCGCTGTATTTCTGTGTATAGACATGACATTCCAGGACCTAAGTTCCGTGCCATGCAAGCTTTTCCTTGTGTAGTTTGTAAAACGAATCTCTGGCCAGGTGATGCTGTACACCTGTAATTCCAGCACTTAGAGGTGGATTACAAATTTGAGCCCAATCTAGGTTACATATCAAGACCCTGCTTCAGAAAATCAAAACAAAGGCTGGAATAGAGCACTCGTCCTATGTGTGAGGTCTTTGGTGCAGTCTCCCATACAACCAAACAACAAGCTTACGGAGCAAAGTTTTGTAGTTTGGAACTTGAGCTTAGGGTATTAATTGTTCAGTAGGCTTTTCTGAGTAGCCACTCAGGCACACATCAGTAACAGTGTATTTTCCGTTGCTTCCTGACTAGGTGGTGGTAACAAATACTGTCCCTCATGAGGTCCAGAAACTACAGTGTCCCAAGATAAAGACTGTGGATATCAGCTTGATTCTTTCTGAAGCAATTCGGAGAATCCACAATGGCGAGTCCATGGCTTACCTTTTCCGGAACATCACGGTGGACGACTAGCTCTCAGTTGCTTTGACCCTGGAATTCCAGAGGAAGCTGTACAGAACAGTGCCATCATATGTACAGTGTGTCCTTGCGGGGGAGACTGGAAATGGGCTGCAGTGAGGAGGAGGCATTAAGATTAGCAAGAAGACAGGGCTGGTGGATAGACGGCATGGCTTTGAATGCCCACCTTTGTCAGCCCTGTTCCCTTATGGGAAGTCCAGACACTACTGCACAGATACTGAAAATCTTACAGTGTGGAAGAACTGAAAGACAGAAAGGCTCGGTGCTAATGTTAATCAGTTGTTTCTGCTCTGGGGAAGGCAGGTGGTTTTGAACCTGGGGAGCTGAGTGGCCCTGGCACTGTTTCACCCAGCTGTCCTCTCCCTGGCCAAGTTCCCATAAGTCTTTTATAGAGAATCCTATTTTCTTTCAGAAACTGCTCTGTCTACGACCATTGAACAGCCAAGTCAACGTGTCACTGCTCCTGAGCTTGTCAGACTAGAGATTAGCATCCTGTCCTGAGCAACTGCATTGCTCTGCGGTTCCAAATAAATAGTTTCTTGTGTCTCTAGTGTCGTCCATCCACTGCGGCTCCCTGTACCCTCCTAGGTTGTGTCTATCTGAACTTTGTGGGAAACAGTGGTGTGTCCATGGCCAATATGACTAGAGATGTGCCTCCCACAGGCCCCATCCCCTTCCTAGGCACTGGGGTTAACATTTGAGGGAGGGGTATGCGCACGCGCGCACACCAGCACATGGGGTTTTTAGTGGTATTAGAGATTGAACCTAGAGCCTCCCCCACACACACACCCACATACGTTAGGGCAAGTATTCTACATCTCTAGCCCCTAATTTTCTTTCAGTAGAATGAGCTATCATTTTCCTTTGTGACCAGTGAGACTGTTTATTGTATTATTTAGGACTGCAGTTGCCCTTCTCCGTAACGTTCTAAATCACGCCATCACAATTTCAGTTTATACCACCTCAGTCAGGCCTTACTGCAAACACAACAGAGCTTTTTATACCTTTGAGCCTGCTCCAAGTCTTAGGAGGGCGATTGTGAAATGAAGTAGAATTGCTTATGGGCTGTTAGAGAGGCAGAACGAATTCTTTTATTTGTGTAATTGTATTTCACTACTGAGAAGTTCCCTCGACTTTTTTATCCCTTAATGACAAGGGAGGTTTCCAGCCTAGTCAGAACTTTGAGCACAATGGCCTTTACAAGCATACAAGTTACCTTCTGTAAATGGTCCAAGTTGGGAAATTTGAACCAAGAGCTCAGTCATTAAGATTAACAAGTGCTAGAGGAGGAACTGTAGCCTAGTAGGCCGGAGCTTTCCCAAGTGTGTGGGGGGGGGGTCCGGTGTTGCATTGTTCACCTTGATCCCTAGAGAATCTCTGAACCGAAAGCCCGCCATTTTGGCTAGGCTGACTAGCAAGTGAATTCCCAGGACCCACTTATCTCTGCACCCCAGTGCTGAGGTTAGAGGCTGTGCAGCTATGCCTGGCTTTTCATAGTGGGGCTTCAAATTCAGATCCTCATGCCTGTATAGTGCTTTCTCAGGAGTGTCATTCCTAACTAGTCAAGGTAGGCAGATGGTTAGTTCTTTCTAGGTCTGTCTGCCTTGTGGAAAAAAAGATTGAGAGTTGGGTTGTGGAGTTCACTCAGTAAAGTGATGCAAAGATGAGAACCTGTTTGGTCAATGCAGCCACATAAAAATCGACATGGCAGCACACATTTGTCATCCCAGAAGTGGAGAGGTAGAGATGATCTCTGGAGCTTCCTGGCTGGCCAGTCTAGCCTAATCTGTGGTCCCCAGGTCTCAGTCAGATTCTGTCTCAAAAACAAGGTGGATGGGGATGGAGAGATGGCCCAGCAGCTAAGAGCACTGGCTATTCTTGCAAAGAACCCAGGTTCGGTTCCCAGCACCCACATGGCAGCTAACAAAACTGTAACTCCAGTTCCAGGGGATCCCTGGCCTTCGAGGGTGTTGCATGACATGGCTGCACTTACATGCAAACAAAACACAGTGAATAAATAAGAAAGATTACAAATAAAAACAAGGTGAATACCTCCTGAGGAGCAACCTGAGGTTGACCTCTGGCCCACACATATATACACATATCAAAAAATAAGCGACAGCAACAACCAAAAATTGAAAACTAAGATCCCTCTCAAATTTAAAATTCCATTTATATCTCCAGCTAATATTTTCTTTTTTCTAAGTCTTCAAGAGTAAAGGGGTTTTTTTTGTTTGTTTGTTTTGGTCTTTGAGACAGTCTCCCTGTAGCCCCAGCTGGCCTGGAACTCACTATGTAGACCAGGTTGGCCTTGAACTCCCAGAGATCCACCTGCCTCTGCCTCCCAGGTGCTGAGATTAAAAATGTGCACCACCGCGCCCGGCCAAGGGTAGAGATTTTAAAATGTACTTGACACTACCACCCCTACACAGAAAATGCCACCGTTTCCTTTGGTATGATGTACTAAGCTTCAGGCTGGTAGAACCCTGGCTTAGTATGCACAGCGCATCAGGCTTGATACCCGGAGTGGCAAGAATTAAAAGATACTAAGCCTCAGGCATAAGCAGACTCACTGTTTAGTCCTAGCTAGTGTAGGCGTGGTGGTTGCTAACATTGTACAGTGGTTGAACTTGGAAATGAACAAGCCTGCCTTTTCATCCGCCTGCACCCCACAGCTTCAGTTCTTGAGCCTAGAGCCTAAAGTTCAACTGCAGTCTGGCAAGTTCTCCAAGGTCAGAGGATTACAGAGTTGGCCTGTTTACCAGGTACTGCAAATTTGACAAAATCACTTCAATGAAAATGGTGCCCATTCAGACTAAACTACAAATCTAAATTTGCAGGTGTGATAAGTTTCCTTTAAATAACGTTACTGCATGTTACTTATTAGGAAGTTGTATTTACACGTTTTCTGCAAGGATCTGGTATGGGAAAGTAAACACCTCATTTGCTGAGAGCCCAGATTCTTCAGTCCTGACTGTAAATGAACTGTTACAGGCACTTAGCCAGGCCAGGCTGTTTTGAGCTAAATGAGTTCAGGGCAGCACATCCGTCTGTCATCTGGCTGCTAATTGGAGGAAGCCTTTCCAAGTTGTGCACCCCCTTTTTTTGTTGTTTTGTATTTTGAGACAGGGTCTCCCTGGAGCTCCTGCTGGCCTGGAACTCCCTGTGTAGACCAGACTGGCCTCAATCTCCGAGAGCTCTGCCTGTGTCTGCCCCTCAAGTGCTGGAAGTAAAGGCATGCACCACCACCCTTGATTGAATAAAAAGATCTAGCAACTTCCCCTGAGGGGCAAAGTCCCCTCAGTATTGTAACCCTGCCTTCTTTATGTAAAACAAGGTGGCCAAGACACCCCTTAAATCTTTTATGCCTTCGGTGGTCTATCAAGAGCTATTGAATCTGGCCCTTAATAAGTTGAGGGGCTGGAGTCTAGTGGAAGTGTGGGAGGCCACCCCAGCTCTTCCTCCAAAACTGACCCGTTCTAATGCAGATGCTGTTAACCCAGTCCCATCATGCCCGATTGGGGGAGCATTTACTGAAAAACTGGTGGCACTTGGGGGTGTGGCCAAGGGTTCCCCTGTAGGTTTTAGAACGGGCAGGTCCCAGAGGTGGGCTCTGCGTTCTTAGAATCCTCTCCGTGCGCTGCACCCCAGCAACCCCTCGGCAAACCGTGCGCCGTCGTTCATAACGTCCCCCCGCCGGAGCTCGGAGAGGCGGACGGAGCCCAAGGCTCCAGCTTGGAAGGCCTCAGACCCACAGGCGGGGCTTCCTGCTAGGACCCCTGGAGGGGTACAGCTGGGCACCCAGCGAAGGGGACCTCGCGGGGACCCTCACAGGCCCCAGAGACTGCGGAGGACTGAGGGGCGCTTGGCCCCCCGTCCTGCTGGGGTCGCCCGGCCTTCTGGGGTCTCCCACGGCTCCCAGCAGGGTGCACGATGCCGCCGGCGCTGGCCTCCAGGGTCTCCCTCCGGGAGCTGGCCGACCTGGCCATCGGCACCCCGGAAGTGGGCGCCGTGAACTTCACGGCCCTGCACACACTTATTGTGGCCATGCTCGAGAGCCTCAACCTCCAGGAGGTCCTCATCGATTTCCACCACCCGTCCAGCGAGCCTGGCCGCCCGACTGAGGACCTCCGGACCTCCTTCAGCACCCCGAACGTACCGCCCACCAAAGAGAAGCGCAAGAGTTTGACCAGGCTGCCATCCCACACCCTGGAGGGCCAGGTGAAAGACCTGGGCTGCCAGGTGCAGGACCTCAGCAAGCAGCTCAAGAACATGGACAGCAAGATACAGGGCATTGCCACCCACGTGGAGTACATCTCCACAGCCCAGGCCTCTGACCTCCACCGGGATTCCTCCAAGTCGGAGCAGGAGGCTCTGCTGGAACCTCAGGTTTCCCAGACGAAGCCTTCCAAGGTGTTTGACCCCCAGGTGGTCCCTGAACGGCAGGCACGCTCCAGCCTAGGGAGCCCTCAGGCGCCACATACAAAGCCCTCCAAAACCTCGAAGGACATCAGAGAGAGGAGCCCACACAAGGTGAGTGCACTGACCCTGCAGGGCCCCACCAAAACCAGGGGTTGCAGGGCATGACATGAGAACAGCCTGGCCTCACACAGCTTCTATTGTACCTTCCAGTCCATGGATCTGCTTCAAGACATCTTAGAGGACATGAAAGTTCTGAAAGAGGCCAACCAGAAGGTGCAAGAGTCTCCTGAGCTGAATCCCCAGGTCAGGACATCCAGAGACCCCTACAGCACCAGGACCCCACATGCCCCCTGCTTCATCTCCTGTTTTCCAGGGTCATTCACAGCTTATCCATGACACTTAAACTGACCTAGAGAGGAGCTGACATCTCAGGATATTCTTAGCATGAATTCCCTTTAAAAACGAACTCAGGAAGGAAACAAAAAAAAATAGATGGGCATGGTGGCATACAGCTGTAATCCCGGCACTCAAGGCCAGCCTGGTCTACATAGCGAGTTCCAGGACAGCTGGGGTGACAGGGAGACCCTGTCTCAAAAAGACCAAAATAAATAAATAAATAAAATAAATAAATAAATAATAATAAGGAAATGAACAAAGAGAATGCTGGAGTGATGCCTCACTGGT